TTCACAGTCTGATCCCAGTCCACTTCTGCCTTACGTCCAGCAGAAGTCCCCCGCCTCATGAGAGCGTGCTCCTCTGGGTAATAATACTACTGAGTGACACCCGTGGACGTTATGGACAAAGCTCTACTGGGACTTCTCACCTGTCTTCGGACTGGCCAGGCCTCTCCATGGCCACGTGCCTCTGCGTGTTACCTCTCCTTTTAACACCAGAGAGGGAGCAAAGTACACTGGATAGGAGCCTGGGCTCTACAACCAAATGTTAGGGTTCAAATCCAGCCTCCCCCATTCATCAGCAACATGACACTGGCCAACTTACTTCTCTCGGCCACGGTGTCTATGAGTATAACGTGGGAATAATAACTGCGCCTTCTTCTAAGGACTACCATCAGGCTTAAATCAGATAATCACGCCACTAAGGGGGCACGAGTAACATTGTGGCCAGGACTTTTCTTCATTGAGCAAGACATGTCCTTCCCTACAGGACATTAAGCACCACTGGGTACTTCCACGAAATGTCAATCATTGAGGGCGACCGGTTAGCTCAGTTGGTTAGAACATGGTGCTGATCACACCAAGGTTGCCGGTTCGATCCCCACATGGGCCACTGTGAGCTGCGCCCTCCTTAAAAGAGTCAACTATGCCCTTGTAGCATGAAAGCAATGTGCAACCAATGACCATGGCGGTTCCCCAATAAAACTTAAAAAAAAAAAAAAGTCACGATCATTGTGACAGTCCTCACCATTTCCACAACTAAAGAAATTCCCACCGATTTCCAAACAGTCCAGGGAGAAGGGCAGGCATCACCACCCGCTGGTTGGGAACCACTTGGTGAAACACACACACAGCACTTAACACAGTGCCTGACATACCCAGGACTCACGGATGTGCTATTATGCGACTGATGTCCTCCCCTCTCTTTGCCCTGTGAAGTCCCGGGTCAAGGTCTAACGCAGAGGAAGCCATTTAAGACCCTCCCAGGCAGGCGGCACCTGCGCCGTTTCCAGCTTTCCCAGCTCCAGCTCTCATCTCAGTGAAGCCCCGCCTCCCTGTCACCGAGCGGTCAGCACAGCGTCCCCGCAGGGCCGCCAGCTCCTGCAAGGGGCGCTTTTCATCCCCGGGGCCCATTTCCGGACACATGCAGAGCAGATGCTCAATAACTAGCACAAGATGCAAAGTCCCCATGAAGAATCTGCAGCGAAACAAGCGGCCCTCTCCCCGCCTTTTCTTACGAGGTCCATTCCCGGGACGCTCGGCTTCCGGTGGGCGGCGTGGGGACCCGCCTTTCCCGCGGAGCCCGGCAGCGGGGCTGGCAAGCGGTATGGACCGAATAATAAAACACACAGAGCGCAAACGTCGAGCCGAGGGGCTGGTGAAACGGCGGCTGGCTTGTATTATCTTTTATAATTGACTCTCCTTCAAAGATGGTTCCAGCCCCCGCCCCGGCCGGCGCGCCTTCCTCGCTGCCGTGAAGATGCGCGGAAGCAACGCTCCCCAGACTTAGGTCATCCCCGCAGCCCGTCCAGGGGCGTCTGCCCAACCTAAGGACCGTTCGACTCTTCCTGAATATTCTCAAAATGCACTCTTTTCACTTCAGTTTCAAAAGGAAATTTGACAGCCCCGCCCGTGATGGGAAACCCGGATCCACACTCAGCAAGCGCCGGAGACCAAGGGCCGCCGGCGGAGCCCCCCCGGTCCTGGGCGCGCGCAGGGCTCGCCTCCCGCCGCGGGAAGCGCCGCGACCACCGCCCCGCCACGGACCCACGGGGCCCGGCCCCGGCCCGCAGCTCCGCCGGCGGCCGCTCACCCTCCACGGCGTGGTTCACCTCCTGGATGAACAGCTGCAGCTTCATCACCAGCGTGGCCGCGTGGCCGTCCGCCTTGCCCGCCGCCGCCTCCTTGGGGCCGGCCCTGAAGGCCGCGTTGACCCACTCCTTCACGTCGAAGTCTTCCGCCAGGAACTTGGAGAAGTCCATGGCCGCGCCGCCTCGAGCCCGGCGTCCGGGCCTTACGAGCGGGCTCCGGGCGGCCCTGCGAGAGTCCCGAGGCCGGCCTGGGAGGCAACGCGCCGGGAGACCCAACACCGCAACTCGCCCCTCAGAGACCGGTCCGCTAGCTGTGGTGCGTGCCGGAAATGGCCCTCGCCGCGCGCCGTACTGCTTCCGGAAGTGAGTGGCCATCACCATGGCGACAGCCGAAGCTCCGGGGGCGGGGCGCATGGGGGAAGCGCCGTTTTACCAACTCCTGNCACAGCTTCCTGCACATGAGGGCCGAGCTCACACCCCCTCGACCCGAAATGCTCGGGCCTCTGCTGCGCACCTGCAACGACCCCGCTTCCTCAGGGGCTCTGGTCCAGGGGCTCCCTGCCCACTCTTTCCCGATGTCCCCCAGGCTCTCAGCCTTCTACTCCCATTAGCCTCACGCCTCTCTGTGACATCTGTCACATGTCATCTCATTTCTCACCCGCCAGACGGGGAGGACGAAGCAGTGTCCTTCACCTGAGTTCCTGGCACCTGGCTCGGCGCCTGGCACAGGGCAGGGGCTCCCAGTCACTGTGTGAGTGGCAGGCGAGCCTGGGCTGGGTGAGCGGGAGGCTGAACGCCCAGCAAGCTCCCGCCTCTGCCCCCCGGGACATCAGCCTCCTCTGCAGGGCTAACCGCAGGCAGCTGGGGAAACCGGCCCCAGCAGAAGAAAACCAGACACGTGGGGATGTTTTACGTACTAGAGATCCCAGTTTAAAACGTCCAAGAATGTGCTCCACAATAAACACCAAGTCTAACATAAAGAAATGCCAAATAAACACAGTCCAAGCCCACAGAACTAATGCGTCTTTCCCTGCATCCATCAGGTGATCTATTCACGAGTCTGATTCCCCATGATGTGCAGTTCCCGGTACTGTGAACTCAACCGTGGAAATGAACCCTGGATTTTGCCTCATCAGAAACATTTCCTCCTCACTGCAGTGGGCTCTAAGCTAGGTCTTGGGACAGGCCGATGATTAAACACAGTCCCTATCGGCAAGAAGCTCAGCGATTAATGCGGGGGACGGGGGGACCCCACACGTGCCAATGTGAGAATAATGTTACAATTCCATCTGTTTCCTTAACTCATTTCCTTGTCACGAGTTGTCACCCACTCCTCACTCACGGAAACCTGTACATTTACGTTGGATCTCCCGAACCTCACTGCTCCATTGAACTGCCCTACTAATGCCTGACCCTGGTGAGAATGCCACTGTCCCAAGAAGTGGGCACCAGGAAATGCACAGGGCCTGTGGCAGTCCCCACGCAGCTCACCCACCTCGCCCCGTGTCAGAGAAATCCCAGGTGATACCCCACTCAGCCCTGCCTGACTTGGCCCGTAAACCACAAAATGACCCCCTTCGGCAAGGACGTGACTTTAGAGCCAAGGGGCCAGTGTCACTCTCGTCACTGAAGGAACCTGGAGCATTTCTGGCTACAGCCTGTGCCACCCGGGGCAGGTCCTTGTGAGCCCGGGCTCTGCAGGGGAGACAGATGGGGAGCCGAGATGAGCTTTGCGGGGNAGAAAAATATCTAATAGACATAAAAAACCTATTATTTTGTTTTCTTCCGCGTATTTTTCTGAATTTTCCAAATCTCCTAAGACACACTTAAATTATATTTATAATAATTAGAGAAGTAAATGGTAACTTTTTAAAAGAATTAGATGTAAGGACTAACTGTATTTCATGTCAGCATTCACCGTGATGAAGGTGAATCAGACAAAGATGAGGGAGGTCACACAGCAGCCCAGGGGTCACCGTGCATGGGGACAGGAAGAGTACAATACAGTTTAGGACACAGCCACACAGATGAGGAAACAATTCTGCTCCCTTACAGAAGCGAGGAGCCAGCAGGGAGAGCTACGAAAGGAGGTGACACTTCAGCTGGACCTTGAGGGGTGAGTGGAGGCCTGCTGTGTGTTGACGGGAAGGAGAGGAGGGCAGTTCAGGCAGAGAGCAGAGGCGTGACTGGGACAGAGTGTGACACTTGGAAAGCAGAGTGCCGGGAAAGCGGAAAAGGCAGGAAAAGCCTCTGTGAAGGACAGGCTAGGCCTCGTGAGTGGGCTCAGAATGCATCGGGAAGAAAATGGAGAATCGTTCAAGGCTAACATGGGAGGGCAGCTGAGGGGCAGGAAAATGGCATGGGCCGATCTGTGCTTTAGATCCCCCTGGTCCCATGCAGAGGATAAGTGGGGGTGTGGGAGGGACTTGGCCAGGAGGAGGCCCCGGCGCTGTCCATGCTCTAGGAGTAGAAGTAAGGGCTGCTGAGGCTCTGGCCTAGATGGAAAATGGTGCCAGTAACCAAGCATCAGGAGGCTGGCTACGCCCCCTGCAGCCCAGGAGGGCTTAGACAGCTGACCCCCGCCCACATCTATGCCGTTTGTTTTCTCGGCCTCCTCGGGGCTGCAGGGAGTACAAACTGAAGAGGGTGGAAACTCTCGGCGCGCCTTAGCACTCCCGCCTGTGTCACCTTAGCACTCCCGCCTGTGTCTGAGAGTTTCTGGACACGGCTATTTCCTGCCCCTCTGGTCCCGAGTGAGCAGCTGTCTCATTAGTGTCCCCAAACCTCAAGTTCCCGCCTGAACACGTCACACCACCCCCTGAACAAGGAACCCACCTGAGTCTTAAAGGTCTCGCCGATGTCTGCACTCAGCGTGCTCCACTTGTCCGCCTCCTGCAGAGACTCGGCAGCGAGCTGCATCCTGGACTTGGCCTGGTCGATTCCCACCAACACCTAGATGGGAAGGCGGGTCGGAGTGGGGGAGGAGGCCTTCCCTTTCTCTGCCTCCACCAGTGACGTGAAACCAAGCATCCCGGCATGCTCCTGGCTCAGGGAGCTCCTGGGCCCCTCCCGCACCCGTCACACAGCCGAGAGCCCAGAGAGGAGCTGGCAGTGTCCGCCGGGAGGGTGAGGGAGGGTGGCCTCCCTCCAAGAGTGAACATCTTCCAAAACCAAGAGCCAGCACCGGGGCAGGAGCCAAAATACCTGCATGGACTGAGACGTGTCCTCTTCGAATTTCTTAATGTCCTCCTTGACCAGAATCATTTGTTCTTTCAGAAAAGACGCCTCCTGTTTCAGGGCTTCCACGTCGCGCAGCACTTTGGGCATATTCTGCAGGGCCTGGAGGCTCGTTTCTGCAGCAAGCATGCAGGGGCAGACATGCACAGCGCGGTGACAATCAGACCAGTCACAGGGGAATGGGACACGCCAATCAGGCAACAGGAAGGAACTTTCTACCAACCACCCCTCTTTCCCAGCCTGTGAAAAATGGGGGCTTTGGCGGTGGAGGGGAGCTGGCCTCTGCCAGGACCATGGCCTCCCCAGACTGATGGGTGAGGCCGTATGACTGAACAGTGAACAAACTATCAACCAGACCCAACATCAGCCGTTTTCCAGCACTGAGTTCAAGTTCAGCTCCCTTTCAAGGACAGAGCATGAAGGACTGACACACTGGGTGACTGCCAGCTGCACACCGATATCACATCATCACTGTCCACGGCCATCACAGGCAGCGCCCCTTACAGGTAAGAACACTGCAGCTCGTGATTTCAGAGCTGAGGTAAAGCCGTACACGTGCCTGGACCCAGCACCTGCTTTCCACCGTCTTTTCAAACGATGGTCCACAGACCACCGCATCGGCTGGAGTGCCGTTAAAACGCAGGCCCCCAGGCCAACGTCCAGAGATTCCCGGTGACGTTCTAAGCCTGGCCAGAGGTCTGAGTGATACTAGCTGCCTATATTTGCGAAAACCCATCTAACTCATCAGATGAGCTCCATGCATTTCACCATGTTAATTTTATCCAATTAAAAAAAGAAAAGAGCTGAAAACAAATACTGAATTCTAATTATACTGTTTAGGGCTCGAACTGAAACGTTTAGGGGTGAAGTGTGCTGATGTATGCAACTTATTTTAAAATGTACATCAAGAAGTAAGGTAGACCGGGCCGGCCGAATGGTTCAGTTGGTTAAGAGCTCGCTCAAGAGTTTGAGGTCTGAGCAACAGCGGTTCGAGGCCAGCCCGAGCTGAGCAGCCGCTAAGCTGCCAATAGGTAGCAGGATGGCTCAGCTAAAAAAAAAAAAAAAGAAGTAAGGTAGACCAAGGAATAAACACACGGACAGATGTGTGATCAACAAGCATAGCAAAATGTGAACTAGCATCTAGGCAGCGGGTAAATGGACGTCCGCCACAATTCTCTCGATGTTACTGTACGTTTGGTAGCTCTACCCACAGCTGCTTAGCTCAAGAATTGGCCCTCATCTGGATTTTCTCCCCTCCTCAGCCCTCACTGCAACCCATCAGCAAATTCTCCCCATTCTTCCTCCTAAAAACATCTTAAATCCACCCATTTCTCACCACCTCCACTGCCATAACCCCAGCTGAAACGACACTCCTCTCTTCCAACTACAGCAATAGCAATAACCTCCAGGATGGGGGAATGGGTCAAACCATGTCGCTGCCCCTGCCTTCCCATCACACTCATTTTCAATAAAATCCAAACTCTTCACAGTGACGTTAAAACCCCAGAACTATCTGGCCCCTGCCGACCTCTCCAACCTCTCCTGGGTTTTGTCCATCAGTGTCTCTGGACCCTGGAAAAGAGTTTGTGCCCAACAAATATATGCTGGCTGGATGAACGAACCCATCGATCCCCAGTCGGGGCCCTCACCATCTGCTGCTTGGGCCTCTGCAGTCCCTTCTCTCCCCTGCAGACCTGGGCCCTCGTCTCAGCTTCATAAACCTAAAGCTTTAAAACTCCAAGGGCTTCTCACTGCCCACGGGATGAAGCCCAAACCCCTCAGGATGGCCAAAAAGGCCTTTCACAGTCTGATCCCAGTCCACTTCTGCCTTACGTCCAGCAGAAGTCCCCCGCCTCATGAGAGCGTGCTCCTCTGGGTAATAATACTACTGAGT